TTGTCGTGATATACAAATACAGCTAAATGTCTACAATTTAGATGAAATTCATTCTAAAGTAACAACTGTGTAGAAACCAAGACACAGAAATAGGCCAGGCCGTTTTGAACATTTGAAACTAGTAGACATCTTCCTGATAAACAAGTAAGATCCATCTAACTTCCACCCAAGCCACTAATCCTTGTAATTTAACGTGAATTAATTAATTCCTGGTTTGGCATTAGGTCTTGAAATTTAACGTCTAAGATTTGGGTTCCATAATATACGGTGTCCGGAAATTATGTTACCGATTCTGTAAAATACAAGTATAAATCTATTTTGTTAAGTTTTTAAAACACTATATAATTGCATTAAAATACGTTGTGTCCTTTCTAATATATATATTCACATACACACACACACACATATATACACCTTCCAGAAGCTGTTTCCCACAATTGAACATTGGTAAGTCTGCGGACTTATAAACATTAAAAAACAAGTTTCGATAGCCGTGGTTGGGTACAGTACAGATGGTCCATTGTGTAGCTTTGTGCTTAACTACAAACAAAAATCCAGTATCTGCCTTACAAGCGTAGTATATAACAGTAACAAAATAATCTTGTACTGCGTTACGTCTTTCACAATTTCATTGAAATTCATTCTTTGCTTTCAAATTTCCGTAACTCAGCAAATATGCTCTCGGTGGCTCAGTCTTAGGGCTAATAACACTCGAGTATTGACACTCGCAGTGAGGACAGCAAATATAGCCTATTGTGTAGCTTTGTGCTTAGAAACAAACAAATAAACAACTCAGTAAGTACAGTTTACACAATCACTTGTTATAAAAATTAAGATACTTCGTAATTAAAAAATAAATACATTTTTGATACATTAACTGAATTGGTGTGAAAGCCACACAATACGCGCCGTCATTTATATTACTTCATAAAGATAGCCTCACGAGCTTTCCTGATCATTCACATTTAGGTAGATTTTATTAAAATTTTTATTGTTTTTGTGCAAACTTTTAATTCTTGTTATTAGTTTCAAAATTACCAATAAGTTTGCAACTGTAAGATACGACATAGAAACTACTTTAATATATCTTTGGTTACATTTATATGTAAGATACCACGTGCCAAAAAAAAATAAACATTTTGAAGTTAGAAGTAAAAAAAAAATGATATCAGCAGAGAACGTAATATTTCTATTTCCAAGAAACTTTTAGCTTTTTGTATGTTCCTGCTCAATCAATGATATTATCATATATATTATACTCTCCCCTCCGCCACATATATATTTTTAAGTTAATATTGGATCATACTCCACGGAAATTTAAAGTTTCATGTAAGAACTGAAATCGCCAGATTTCGTTATTAATGTTAAGTTTTTCAACTTGTTACCATATTATAATGGAGCTTCATTCACGTGAAATTACTCTGAAGTTACATTTTTCGTGTATTTATAGGTAGAAGGCCTCCCCCCCCCAAAAAAAAAGAAATTAATTGACAGTATTGTTTACACATTAGCTGTCTAGGAAGAGAAACGACAGATTTGACAGAAGGGTTTCAGCTCAACAATACGGAAAAGAATATAAATGAGAAGAAGATATTTTTTAATTTTCGATGCTCAAGACAAGTGTTTCAGAAGCGCATTTTGATATTAAGGCTAGTTTGTAAAAAATATAGTCCTGTATCTTATCATTACGCACACACACACGTATATATATTTTTTTGTAGCTCAATATATTACAGTATTTTCTACTTAACCTGACTGGTAATTACTTTTTGTTTAAGTAATAGAAGATAAACAACTCACCTAACCAGTACAATAAACCATCAATATTGTGAAAATCATGGAAATAAAACACCAGTTGTTGCTAAATAGGATGGATAGATAGAAAATTGGACGGTTTGTGTTAGATAAAACACCAGTTGTTGCTAAGTAGGATGGGTAGATAGAAAATTGGACGGTTTGTTTGTAGTTAAGCACAAAGCTACATAATGGGCTATCTATGCTCTGCCCACCACGGGTATCAAAACCCGGATTCTAGCGTTGTAAGTCCGCAGACATACCGCTGTGCCATTGGGGAGCAAAATTAGACGGCAATCAAAATATTTCAACTTAGCGGTTAGGCTTAAGCGACAATACCCTTCTGTGAATGGAAGGTATAAAATCCCTTTAAACCAGCTTCAAAACAAATTTAATAACGTAATTTGTAAAGATGCTAGAAAACAAAACGCGTTTACATCAGTTTTATTACCTATTCGCCGGAAGTCTAATTTAATTGACTCTGTCAAAGTACACTAATTAGACAGTTGGAAAATTTAACTTTTTTTTCCCCCTCTTTATAGTCTCTTGTTTTTGACCTTTGTAAATTATTCCTGAACTTTGATTATTTTTCCGCGCAAAATATTTCCAGCATACGTATAGCATAATCACATTTTATTCATGTTTTGGGTATGAGAGAGATAAATGTCGATTATTGAAGTTTTATTTCTTTATTTGCTATGTGATTGTTTTACGGCACGTTATTCTGTGACTGGTACAATATTTGACATATACAAGATATATATATACGTAACATTTCTGATCATCATACCAAGTATAAGGCATCACTTTGTAGAAACACTAGCTTGTCCGACACGTCAAACATTATGGGTTGGAGTTTTATAAAAAAAAAACCCCAGATCGTATTTTTGTAATTACGTCATATAACCTAAAAATTACGGTTTAAACGCTGAAAGAAGCTGAAGCAACCAAAGCCAATAGACCAAAGGTTTATGATATAAATTAGTTTCAAATACCAAAATTCGAACCCGCGACCCGCAGATTGCGAGTCGAGTACCCTAACCACCTAGCCATGCCGGGCCGAAGAACTTTTGTTATTGTGATATTGTATATTATCAAACACCAGTCCTCACACAGTTTGTAGATGTTTGGTTGCTTGTCAAATTTTGCGCAAAGTTTTTCGAAGACTATCTGTCCTAGCCGAACCTAATTTTGAAGTGATAGACTAGAAAGAAGACAGCTAGTCAAAGCCACGCACCGATAACTCTTGGACTACTCTTTTACGAACGATAAGAGGGATTGATCGTCACATTATAACGTCTTAGCAGCTGAAAGTAATTTGATTCAAACTCGCGATCCGCACATTGTGAGTCTAGTGCCTAACTACCAGATCATTCCAGAACTCACTTAACAGATACAATAAGCATGAAAATATATTTCACTTGCAGCCCGCTATACTGATAACGATATTTTCACTACAACCTGTTTTATCTGATATATATATATATATATAATACAGTTGTCTTTTGGTGTGACTGTGTCTCCTGGCAACAAAAAGTTGACAAGGTATTGTTCTCTTCGAACGCTGACTTGAATTCCACTTTTTTAGATAGTTTTACGTTTTAGCTGATTTAGCAGTGTAAGACTAGAGGGAAGGCAGCTAGTCATCACCACCCACCGCCAACTCTTGGGCTACTCTTTTACCAACGAATAGTGGGATTGACCGTCACATCATAACGCCCCCACGGCTGAAAGGGCGAGCATGTTTGGTGTGACGGGGCGACGGCTAGCGCAGATAGCCCTCGTGTAGCTTTGCGCGAAATTCAAAACAAACAAACAAACAAAAGTTCTTAATAAATAAAAGTTCTTCAAAATATTCTTAATAAACTCGAATGACAAAAATGTAACTCAGAGAGAAAGGATCGATGATGATGTAATATAATTATATGCTTGGGCTTTTTAAATTAAATGAAGCCATTGTTCGTATAATCATTGTTTACATTTTCGATTTTCCAGTTCAACTACCATATTTGTGCACGAGAGTTAAAAATTCATAGTATTAAATATTTCGTGCACAATGAACCTTCGTCAAATGCACATCTGTGCTTTTTCCAAACTTAAGAACTTCCAGATTTCTGCACCATTTTGTTTGATTATTCATATTAAATTTATTTAGTGTTTTAATGTTTTAGTAAATGGTTTTGTTTACAAGACGTGCCAAGGCAGTTCAAAATATAGAACATTTTCAAATATATAGATGCTTTTCGTGACTTTGTTGCTGTGTAGACCAAGTCTAAAGATTATTTAAACAATGAGACATAAGATCTATTGCTGCAAAAATAATATTGTAAATATTTCCAATGAATTTCTCTTTTTTTTTCAAATACAAATGTACTGATAAGATGTTATTCGAACCAACACCACAACCACAACAACAACAACAAAATATAAAACCTGAAAAGAGGAAAAACAAAGATATAATTTCCTGTTAATTAATGTGATTGAAATATACTTTGGGAAGTAGCAAACCATTTTAACTATGATTACCGGAAAACAGAGACAGGTTGAATTAATGAATATATATAATTCTGACAAAGTTTGGCATGCAACATCATTACTAGACACTTATGGGCTCAAATAATGTGAAACTTTCAAAGATCTGTAAATCATGAAACATATGAATGATATAAAAATACACTTTTGTGCTTATTCAAGAAAACCAATATAAAAAAGTGACGTCCCAAAGATAATAACGCAAAATTAGAGTGCTTGTAATGACGGACGAAAGATCCATCTTAATGCTGGATGACGTCACGAAAAACCTCTTATGCCTAGCATACCCCCAGTTTATGCTTATCTGATTTTTTCTGATTGTATGATCTTGGACGTAGAATAAACGTCACCTCGTAATTAGTCTTCACGAAATTCTTGCTTAATCCAGAGATATATTTGAACACAATGTATTATGAAGTTGCGTGATACTTTTGAAAATGACTGGAACTTTCTAGAAACACAGACTGTCTACTGCTTACCATTGTTTGTTACAATATCTGAGTGTCACAGCGAGGACACACACATACAAATAAAATAATATTGAAACGTGATTTTATTTTTATAAAAACAAATAAAACTGTAACTTTTGCAATAATTCATGACATCTTTACTAACATTAATTTCGAGAAACACATATGATTTATAAAGAATAAAGGGAAATAAATTTGGGATACCTCTTGCCATTGGTGAAACCATCAGCAAATTCACAAAAGCTGCACCATGTCCGTGCCCCATGATTGTAACATTGTGAATATCTCCACCAAATTTCATGATATTTTCCTGTATCCAGTGGAGAGCTGCTACTTGGTCCATGAGGCCGTAGTTACCTCGGGCAGCTCCCTCTAGTGCTGGAAAGAATCCTGTTGGACAAAAAGTATTGTATTTCAATGTCATATGACTGTTAGATATTTTCAATTTGATTGAATACAGTTTTCCAAAGAATAGATTCACAAACTTAAAATAGACTTCAGATTTTTCAACTTTAAGTTATCTTTAATTGTAAGACATTACCCATCTATGAAATATTTGTCCGGGGATTGCACTTTGAAAAATATTAACAATATATTGGTACGATTTCAAAAAGGTAAAAAACAACGATAAAACCAGGCCAGGTAACTAACCCTCATGGTTTGTTTCGAGCAACAGTACATTTTACCTACCTAATATCCCTAGACGAAAGTTAAATGTTATGACGATAACATCTGCTATACTTGCAATAACACTGCCATCATAAGGATTTCCGGAATTCCATTCATAAGATTCTCCTTGTATGAAAACAATCACTGGAACTCTCACAGTTTGGTGAAGGACTAGAAAAAAAAAGTTTTACTAGTTAGATATGTTTTATCTTATTTCTCAGGCTGTAAACGACTATCTTAAAGAAGATGAGTCACAAGTCTTAATGTACACGAACCATGGTGGCTCAGTATTTGGCTTAGTTGGACCGTGAATCAGCGAGTTTCGAGTTTGTGTTTTGTTGCTGGAAGAGTGAGATCTGTACGTTGGTGCCGTGGTTGCGTTGTTATAGCGTCGGTGGATATTGTTGACTATCTGCCTTCTATTTAGTTACCAGTTCAAAATTCGAGATCTGTGAGAAATTTGGGAATGTTTCGAGAAATTTTTAAACAAAAAATCAAACGTACCATATTGAACAAACTGAATAATTTATTCCAGAGTCAAAATGGAGTAATAAAATTAAACATATTTATATTTATTTTACCTTAAAGTAGCCAGAAACCATTATTTATGAGCTTTATATGTGTGTATTATGTTCTGTTAGCGAAGGGAAGTGGCCATTCAAGTGAAGGGATGACATATCTTTTCTACGATGGTATAGTACTTTTTTTAAGAAAGTGCTCTCTGTTAAAGCAATGTTATTATATAAATGATTAGTGTGGTTGACATTAAGCACACAGCTACACAACGGGCTGTCTGTGATGTTCCCAACAGAGGTATCGAAACCCGATGTTTAGCGACATAAGCCTATAGACTTACCGCTGAGCCACTGAAGGGCTACATAAAGGAGTGTGTGTGTGTTTTCTTATAGCAAAACCACATCGGGCTATTTGCTGTATTCACCGAGGGGAATCGAATCCTGATTTTAGCATTGTAAATCCGAAGACTTACCGCTGGTTCCCCGGGGGGACTACATAAAGGAAGGGAATATTATTTGTGCACTTATGTAACACATTATTATTGATTATTGAGTATTATTATGTTAGAAGCTTCCTTATGCACTCACAAAATGTTCTAATTTAATGTATTGAAATCTTTGTATTACATTGATTCCCGAAAAAATATATTCATGAAACGGTCAAAACGAGAAAAGTAAAATTTATACGTAAATAAATGGTCAACATTTTTTAATGTATCTAATATATGATCTAGTTGCTTAAGAATGTTTATTTACAACAGTAAAGTTTGCGAATCTGAAATAAAACGCTTATGCAAAAGTAAATAATGTGCGTTATCTAGTATAATTTACCTATCACTGACGGTATTTAATAAGGTATTGCAAGTAATTTGATATCATGGGTCTACATATAAAGGTTTATGCACCATCTAGTATGCTGGATCAGCATAATAAGAATCTGTATATCATAAATCATCTGTATATTATAGGCTTAAATATGGATGTATATTATATTAACTGTTACTCTAAGAATACATACAGGTTTAAATGAGAGCTGAGTCAAGTCATTGAAATGTTTTTGTATCGAATGTTGGATTAGATTGTGTTTATTCACTATTTCTTCCCGCTCCACATGAAAAAATAACTAAAAATACACCGAAGCACACATTGATTTGATTGATTAAAGGTAAAAAGCCAATAACCAAGAGGAGTGTATTTATTAAGAAAGTTCCTTTCCATAAAAATAATTTATGTATTTGATTAATTCTACATTGAACAAATAACCGAGCAAGCACACAAAACAGAGCGCGATCGATGATTGGGTACTATAATTATTTTTTCAATGTAAAAGATAACACAAACTATTTCAGAAACTAAATGATACCCTGGTAAGATTCAACTTATTGAATTCAAATAACACTCTTTAGTTTAGAATATCATCCATCATCTGCGTTGTTAACAAAATAATTACTTCATTTTGATACAAGTCGCTGTACTTGGAACGCCAATGCGCACGTGACTTTATTTGAATAAACCAAGGTTTCCTGAAAAGAAGACGAGTCCTACCAAATCTGTACTTAAAATGCTTTTCAGTGTGAGAATCATAAATGAGTGAAAACGAACCATAAAGTGAACATTTGTACTTAAGAGTTGTCTTTTGTGTTGACAGTGTTAACATGTGAAGTTTTATTTGGTTACAAATCGCATGCGAATTGGTAGAAATATATTTTAAGCCCTCATTCCTACCTTGTTAAGCTCATAGGTATAAGCATAACTTATGCTGTAAAATATTATTTGATGAGAACACTTTTCATGTACAAAAAACAGTCAAGTTAGAGTAAAGAGGTCAACAGTATAAAGATGTGATATTAAAAGAAGAGCCAGGCTAAGAATTTTTTTAAAACTTAGAACGTCTTAAAAATCCAGTTCTTTTAACGTAGAATTCATCAGATAAAGTCAATATTTTGAACTAGTACAAAGTATATTATTTGTTTTGACATTTGACTTTATGACGTGTCTGCCAGCGTCACTTGGGACATATAATTACGACTCCACTAGTTGGCATGGAAAAGGAGTTACATTAGGATACTAAAGATATATGTAAAGCCTAATTCATTATTCTGTTCACTACTTGTCACTGAGTTATACCAGTTTTGTGGAATTCTACACCACATCATTAACCCTGTATACAGTCCACCATTATAAGAATCCCAGTCTTGTTGTTTTCGATTTGCCATTGTCCAGGGTTACTAATGAGGGGTGGAATTCCCCGAAACCGGTATAACTCAGCGACGAGTGGTGAACTGAATGATAGACTGGGGCTCATATTTATCTTTAGCATCTTCATTAGCTTGTCTGCTGAATAATTTAGAATAACAAATACGTAACATCAGTATTATCTATTTTCCAAATCCTATGTAAACATATGTTCGCTTTGGTGAGTAAAAGACAACAAAAACACCACACATATAAGAATTATACTGTATTTATGCTGTGACAGCACTTATGTGATCAACTCACCATACATATAAGAATTATACTGCATTTATGCTGTGACAGCACTTATGTGATCAACTCACCATACATATAAGAATTATACTGCATTTATGCTGTGACAGCACTTAT